GAAGGGGGGCGTGGCTGGGGCGGAGCCAGGCCACGCTGCCAGTATAAGAGGGGCCCCGGGAGGGGACCTCGGGCCTGTCGTTTGGAGTGGGATCCCCATGGTTGCTGCTCAAGTTCGTCACCCTTGTCGCTGTCGTTGTCACTTGACATTGCGCTGCTAGACGGTAGTTGGCTGTCTTAGTTCAGCGCCGTCAGTGTCAGACGGCTAGTGTTGTGTGTAAGATAGCAGCCAGTGTAGAGTTGCGTATAAGCGAGAGACAGAGGAGTGTGTAACAGTATAGGGTGTGTATTGTACAAAGTGTGCTCGGTGTTAATTAAAGAACTGCCTCCAAGAACTTACGTCTCCAAGTCAGTCACTACACATGGCTGTGCAATGAATTAAAACCAAATTAACCATGAATTTATTTCTTCTCATTTTTTTCAAGCATTGTCAAAAAAAATTGGTTTTGCAGAGAATGTTTTGTGTGAACGCATAACCAGTAATTATACAGAAATACACAAGACTATATTTTTTTCGTGACATAAGTACATATCACAATTCATGGCCACAAACACACAATTGGGCATAGATAGGGCTGGTTTGATTTTGAAAATGTCTATACAGTAGACATTATTGACACAAAACATGACACTCCAGTTCTTATAAATTACAACTAGAATTTCAGAAATATTTAAATATTTATTATAATTTTGAGCCCTGTATAAATCCACTGATGAAGGCCTTTCCATGCCATGTCAGTCATGTTGTTTGACCATACTTCATCACACTTGTCAGTGCAGGTTGGTAAAGGACGGGGCCCAGGACAAGTCCAGATATCACTTGCCACTGTTGTTGGCTGGGAATCGAACCTTAGTGGCTGGGTTTATATTCCAGCGCACTTACCACTATTGCATCACTCCTGTCATATAAACAATGCTGTTGCTGCAGCACATCGTTACCAATGTAAATACATTCTTAAATGGAGAATGTCCATTGGTAATGGAGATAAAGTATACATTAATGAAAGTGTATTTAAAGAAGGTTAACATACTTGAGATTTACACTTGCACACACCACCTTAATTTCCAGTCCTTCATCAGCCAAGGAATCTGGAGCACATTCCACATCACAAGAGTATACAATTCCACATTGGAACACCAGATGGGTAACACGTACGATCCATTAAGGGACATGTAATATCCTAGAAACATACATGCAGGCAATGGCTGTAGTGGATATCATGCTTATATAAGGCAGTGAACGTGATAGTGTTTCTTTAAGGCATACGTGCGAGAGACTAAAACACACAACTACCTGTTCTGACATTCAGGGTTTCTATGCATTTAATGTGCATGTAGTCAATCACATCAATTGTTTCTGCTTCAAACATCAGTCTGTCGCTTCAATGAAAAAATACATTGAGGTACATTGAATACCAAGGTTTGTTTTGTGCATCTTATCATTGCTGAATCTCGGCTTTCAGCAGGAACCCACTTGTCACGTTGACATATATTAGTAGTGTTAAAGGTGGTACAGGTTATAATGGTATCGTGACATGAGATCATGCCCCTGCTGGTGTGTCAGGAGAGAATCTACAACAGGTGTGATGGGGGAAGGATATATGTGCTTCATTTAATAATTTAGAATGGGGAGACATAGTCACTCGCTTCATGAAACTAAAAACATTCGCAGCCACATTGTACCGACAGGTAGTTTTGAAATGTTGGCACTGTGGGCAGAGAAGTGGGGGTTATACCTTGCGCTCAATGCGTCTTTACAGGTTTGCCAATTCTCTTTGGCACTTTTCTTTAATACACAATCCCCATGCATTATCAGAGGCACCCGCAGTAATGGAACTGGTAGTGCGCCAAGCTATATTGAACATTCATCATCTATTAGGAACTAAAAGTGAATTTGTTTTTTTATTCCTCAAGAAATCCTCTTGCTCTTACATTCTATATCAGGCTGTGTCGTATTTATCTGCGACAGGCACATGCCAGGGGAAGAGTGATGCTGCGAGCAAGTCCTTGATGGTGCTCAGACGATTTTTCACAGGGCAGCTTCGTGGCACCGTGCAAAATAACAAAAAAACAGCACAATATTCATGGGATGGAGTGACACACCAAGGTTCCTCCATAATATTTACACTTTATATACACACACGGCGAGGCAGTTTTCGCTGATAATCACGGTCATTAATTTAATTAAACATCAGGGGCTGCATGTCACGCTGACCAGGGCGGTGCACAGTAATGCGTGACAATGCAAATAGGTATGCTGAAGGGGTATCACTGCGTTTCTCTGCGAATGCTCACTGGAATCTGGATGAATGTGGGCATTGCAAAACAACTGCCTATTGATTATTGAACATCCAGGCCACTAAAGGGAGCAGGGTGAAGTGAGAATTATGGTCTGAGCTGGTATTGTTTCCGTTTTAAAACACACGCAAATGCATATTTTATTGTATGAATTGCATCAATGTATCCATGGGATAGAAAGGTATCTCTTTAACACGTAGGCTTTAGCAGCCAAAATCATCCATGATACAAGTTTTTATTGGGTTATATCGCGTAAATATATAAATGTGTCGTTAAACCGGCCACCACCCGACACAGCCAACTAGTAAGGGTTGTCACATAAACAGAACATAGCAATTCGTCACTAGTACAGCACACCGGTGTGTTTGAGAGCCAAGCCACAACATTTACAATCTGAGTACGACGTTTCGCCAGTAATTACAACTAGCTTCATCTCTTTGTTGGTGTGTGTGTGTATCGGTTTGCAATTAACAAAAATATGTGTACTGTATTTGTTTTCCCAATTGATCGTAGCATACGGGTACAGCATATCCTTAATCTATATGTTCAAGACTATCAATGACTGTCCATTATTATGAAGTTAATTACAGGCATCAGTTGACAAGTCAATCTGTGGCATAAAAAGATAATTGTACGATGAGTAGTATAGGTTTGCAGGACCCCTGCATGCTAGCGAGTGTTTGTGGACTTAATGTACTAGTACTTGGTCACGATTCCAGCGCAGAGCGATGTTATTTCTAGCCTCTGAAAAAAAAACATAATCGTGGGGGTGTTTCACCATTTGCAATGTGTTACATTTGAGTGCCGTTTGCGGCGTAGAATAAGTGGATCGTCTTGACAGCTCAAACTGAGCACACTGTGTATATGGTACCGAATCAAGCATAAGGCTGAAATATATTTTGCTGTCACTCTGGCCAAATGTACAGAATCAGAATCTTTATTTAGACTGGCGGGAGGAATCCGGTGAGCTATGCAAGCTATTTTTCACACATGCCCAGTGTGGGCGGGGTCAGCAAGCTACAACAACAACAAACAATACAGAAACAATAAAACGATAGCGTTCCAAAAATAGAGAAAAGGTAAGCAAGTGGCTAAAAATAAACATAAATAAAGTTAACAATTCTCCGTACATTTCTGCCCATGTTTCTGCTCCAAATGCAAGCATTTGCACGGCAGCCACGTGCAACAAGAGGCCCCTCATCTGGTTGCAAAGGCTGCGAAGTGAATAAATATGCACTTGAGTCTGCAGTAGTGATCGACATCCCACTGCACCCACCACGTTCCTCGCACTCAATATAGAGGCACTGTGACTAGGCGATTGTCAACATCTGCCAGCATTGTTTAGAGCACACATGAAACTCAGGCGTGCGGATATAAAATACAATAATCAGTTAACAAAAAAATACATATTTTTTTAAAACTCAACACCTTCGTCAGAAAAGTGGTGATCTTCTGGGCAATGGTCCCTTCATTCACAGCACGCAGATATGCCACAAAGTAAAATGATCAGTTCGTACCCTAGGACACTTGAACTTGTGGTTTTAAGTGTTGCGGCACACTGTACTGAATATACACGTGGATGCATATTGCAGTTGTACTGTGCTGGATGTGACTCGGGGAATACTAGCACTAAGCATCAGGCACAAGTAGTTTTTTTTCTTCTTCTACTTAGGTATTTTCATGATGCGGGATAAAATAGTGGAATTTATAATTGGACGTCGGCCACTCTGTTCTTTAGGTGGGCATTTACCTGTGAGCACAGAACATTTGGGTGGTGGCAGCTGCTCCGATGCTTGTTGGCACTCCAGCAATAGCAGGACTGCTCAGATAATATGCAACATAATGTAATAACGCGGTGGTGCAATGTGAATCAGAGAATGTGTCCCTGGACTAGTGAGCAGCCCGTCTACTGTAGCTGATAGAGCTATCTGATGGGGGAGCACCATGTATCTACAATGAAAGCACAAGAGGCCTCATTGCAGCTTCCCCTCCAATTTTCCCAATCGTAGCAAAAAGCTCTATTGTGTTAGTACTCAAATAATGAACAGTTTTTCAGTCCAAATTAATATTTAAAAAACCAAGACTCGCTGCCAGAGCAGCCTTCATGACAATGCAAGACAATGTGTGTGAATTGTACTATGAGAGGAGACAAAATAATGTGATGCTAGTTGTGTTTCATGGTGATACAATAATAATTCGCATGCCATTCGTGTCACTTCGCAGAAGGACATTGTTTTGGTAAATTCTCATTTATGTAATGTTTATGTTGAATAAACGTAACAACATTTTTTAATGGAGCATATCACCAAGTACTTAATTTCCTACGATACACTTTTAACACGTACAACGCAGTACGCTTGCTTTTTTGTTGACACAAGAGCATGTGAAATATTGTCAATAGATATTTATCTGGTGTCCATTTGTCCTCGAACACCTTCGGAGCAAATGGTGTTTAAATGACAAACATCCCCCCCCCCACATGCCAAACCAAAAACAGCAAATACCGCGATTCATACATTGTCATTCTACATCGAAATGCACGAGCACATTTTGTTTAACGAAGCAAACAATAATCACGAATCTCTCCACTGTTGCGTGGCATAACGCGGGACAACGCGTGACATTTTTATTTTTTTGAAACCGATGTTGGCAGCGTTACGGATTAACGCCAAGTCGAGCTTGTAGAGCATGTCTCCATTTTACCTTTTATGTTTCGCGTTTCGTGGACGCCGAGCCTCGCAAGAGCCATCGGGATTCCTCAGCCGGCGGAGAGAGAGCAGCCAGCACCAGCAGCCGCCGTCGTTGTTGTTCCATCACGGGCTCATGGGCGGGCTGACGCCGGTTCGCCCCAGCGGGCCCGCACACCGGGAAGCGGCGCGGGGGGGTGGGTGGGCTGCTAAGGCCCCCTGGCTCGAGGACATCTGCTCACCGTGGCCGGCGACACAGCTGGGGGCCGGACACGGAACGAAACGGCGCTGGTCGTGGGGACGGAGGTGCCCCCACCACGGCGCTGTATTCGCACGGCGCGCACGCTTGCACGGACGCCGCACACACACAATTGGCTCTGCCAGGGCTGTGTTCTGTGGTGCCGGCGGAGCGGGCGTCTGCTGCTGACCTCACGAGGATTCTACCATCTCTGAGGGTTTTTTTTGGGGGGGGGGTGGGTAGGTGACGCGGACAGATGGAGGGGGGCTACGAGACACAATGGCTCTGATTAGTCGATGCGCATCCATTCCTGGGCCACCGTGTCACACCGCTTCATTAGAAGGCATTTGACAACATGCTTACCATCTGCCATTGGCTTATTCGGCCCTTAAATTGGCCCAGTACAAGCTTCATATTTTGAAATGGTTTGTTCCGAGATGCAATGTCATAAACCCAGTGTGGGTTATTGAGAGAAGAAAAAAAATCTATTTAACAATTGTGATGTCTGTAAACAGAAACACTGTGCAGTTATGGAAACAACGGAGTGAATTTAACAGCAGTAAATGGTAGAACATTTCACATTTATTCTAACACCATGTATCTATGAAAATATTTCCCGCGTTTGGAAATGTATTTTTTGTTATAGTGCTAATGAGATAACAGCTTGTTTTCTCATTTTTTCAAATTGTGTAAATGTAATATATTTGATGTCCCCATCACGAATGGTACAGCATTTAAATGGTTTTGTTTCATGGTTATTTCATATTTATATTTCAATGTTTTTTTTATTTCTACCAACATATGGCATTATAGTGTGTTTGAATTAAACACAAATCATTTCATTAATTTCCAAATATACCCAACAGAGTGATCCAAATACTGTACTGTGCATACATTTTGCCTCCATAGAAACAGATTTCATTTGTTAATGAGACTCATGAAGAATCAAATTGAGTGAAGGTCTCATTGAACGTGCAAGGTTTAACAAATATTAAATAAATCGGACTTTGATTATCGTAATCGTCGTCATCGTAATTATCCATGATCCACTGTTGGATGAAGGCCTCCCCAAGCTGTTGTTCATCTTTGCAGCCGCTGCTCATCTTTCCTCTCAGAGCGCATTTAATTCATCGGCTGCCACTAAATCAACATTCTTAACCACCGGCCATCATCCCTTCTCGTGACGTGTCCTACTCGAGACCACTCTCGCTCTTCTCAACAGCTTGAACTATGTCATTAACCTGTGTATGTTCTCGAATCCACGTGTTCCCCTTTCTGTCTCTCAACATCATTGAATCCATGCATTATTACACGCTCTGTACACTTTTCAGATTTTCTTTCATTTTCCTAATACAAGTTCATGTTTCTGATTCATGTCAAAGCAGGTATAATGCTCTGTGTAACGTTATTCTTTTGGAACATTGGTACGTTAATTTAAATTTTCAAGATAAGCTTTCTAAAAGCACTCCAACCTACTTTTGTCTGCCTCTTTATTTCATCTACATGGTCCGGGTCATCCTTTAATAACTATCCTAAGTTTATGCATTCAGCTGAGATTTCCAGTTGCATTCCACAGATCGATATCACTTTTTTTGCAGACTTTTATTTTTTTCTTATTTATCTTGAGCCCAACTTAGAAACCTTTGTATAACATCTTCTAATATGTTCTATAGTCTGTTGTCATTGGATACATGTTGACTATGTTGTCAGCAAATCTGAGATGGTTAAATTTATTCCTGTATAGTTTTTGCGTTTGCCAATATAAATGACACTCTCGATGCTTTCTAAACCACATGAGGGCTTCCGGAGAGAGTTGTGAAGTTTTTTTATTCCTCCACTGCAGGAGCACAGACTATAGTGGTTTCCGATAATGGTCCATAGATTGTTAATTGTATCTCCTTTCATATGTATGGCTTACATCATGGGACCTCCTTTGCCAGTACCAAAATATGAGAAGAGGTTTTCCCCTTTTTTCTGGTAACAAAATAGGTGTTGAGATGTTAAAACACCAAACTGAAACCTTTTACGAGGAATCATGTCTGCATTAACCACAATACTTGTGGTCAGAATGCAAACAAAAAACACTGATAATATATTGGCATTGTCTTTGAAAATGATTGGTCCATACCAGAGACAGCTTTCTTTTGAGCCTCGTCTCAAAACGGTGTTAGACCAGAGGACGCCAAAAGGTGTACAGCACAAAGACAACGCACTATCAGAGTAATTGTTTTCATTTTGACCGCAAGTATTGTGGTTAATGCAGACATGATTGCTTGTAAAAGGTTTCAGTTTGGTGTTTTAACATCTCACCACCTGTTTTGTTGCCAGAAAAAAGGGGAAAACCTATTCTCATGTATGACTTTGTTTCTCCAGTCAAACTTTCAGACAACGTGTACTTACACCACTGTGAATAACTCCCCATCTGATGTGACTTTTTGGTATTTTATGTAATATCAATGGCTTTTGCATATTCATAAATCGTTTTTTATGGCCCCGGTTTGTGAGAGCTAGGATGGCTTGAATAATTTTCCATTGAGTATAATGACTTTTTATAGTCTATATATAAACTATCAATGAGGTTCTAGAAAATACGAATTACTTTTAAATACCATTTTGCCAAGTAAGGATGTGTTCCTGATTTTTGGATTCATCCAATTAGTGTAAAAATCAGGCCTAGATATGAAATTTTCGGTGATCACAATTTTAGTTTTTGCTTCAGATTGATCCGAAAACCGAAAGCGGCGTCACTTCCGCAATCTTCCCACCAAAAGCTGTGACATGTGGCACCAGGTGACATCGCGATTGTAAGCACTATAATAGTTTACATTAGTACATAATGGCATATTCTTGGTTCTTTCGGTAAAGTCACGTAGATAGAAAAGAAAAATAAATTTAAAATAATAAAAGCAAAAAACCCACTATTATTTTCCATTTATTTCTTATTTTCTATCTACGTGACTTTACCGAAAGAACCAAGAATATCAATTCCTGCAGTCACGAAAGTTTTAAGTCAATACATAATGTCAATTACCCATAGAATATACTATCAAATTGTTCTGGAAATGTTTTTTTTTACATTACAATATATGAAACTTTTTTAGACCTATGAAAAGGCATCTGAATGTTTATAGTTCGGTTAGTATGGCCAAAACATGTGTACATTGTACTTATACAAATCAATACTCTATCTAACTTGAGTAAAACATGGTAAAGTCACGTAGAATGAGAATAAAATAATAAATTAATAAAATAAAATAACACAATAAAATTCTCACGTTTCGTCGCCGAAACGTCGGCCGAAACGTCGTGAGAATTTTATTGTGTTATTTTATTTTATTAATTTATTATTTTATTCTCATTCTACGTGACTTTACCGAAAGAACCAAAGAAGATGAATCCTTGCAGTCACGAAAGCTTTAAATCGAAATAAACATGGTAGCTAACTTTTAATTAACTGGTTCCATTTTTTTTGCCTTTAATTATGTTCACATTTTAATGATGATGAAAATGTAATTTCCCCTCACTGTAAATTAATCCCATTATGCCATTTCTAACTTTCCATAGAATCATTGCATTCCTCTTTTCGTATCATATTTCGTAGTTGCTACATAGCATACAAGTAGAATATAACGCAATATGGACTTGCAATGTGCAGATATATAACGGTGTGGTGCAGTGGTGCAGTGGTTAGTTGCACTGCGTTACCAACCTTATGACCTGAAATTTGTTTTGCAATCACAAAGCACAGAAATAATTGACAAACTATACTGCAGGAGAACCCCCTTAATTATGATGATGTGACGAAACAATATTACGGATCTTATTTTCTATGAGTTCATTGCCACATTTACTCCACCTATGCATTGGATAAATGTGTGGATAACTGCAGACCATACAGTTCATAGGGATAACAGGAGTTGCAGGTAACAGGGTCGTGAATAAGAATAATTATCTTGGGCAGTGAAACCGAAAGAGTCCTTCACGTGAGTAGATCCTGAGCCAAAGGGGTCACATTACCCAGTGCCGTGTGAAATGAAACACCGCACACCAGTTTATTTTCAACTACAGTATATGCTTCATAATTATTACGGGACAATTGTAACATACTGATTAAAATGTTGCATATTAATGTCTGTATAGAGCAGATAATGGAGATGTGGCGCAATGGTTAGCGCACTCCGATATGAAAGCAGTTAACCGAGTTTGATTCCCGACTATGCATTAACATCAGACGTGAGCTGTATCTGAACCGATCCTATATCCTCCCACACCACCAACTTCACCACACAACACTCCCCATAATCGCAATGTATGACCCTCCATGATTGGCCTGGCTTGGAGAGGACTTCATCCAGCAGTGGATTGACAATGGGCTGCAATTATAACAAATACAAAAGTCTCCCAGAACAGAAAAATAATTGCGTTTTTATTTTATTTCAGGCACGTTAAATACGCTGCCCCAGAACAGTGTATTGTTCATCTTTAGTGCAGTATTGTTGATTATATTGTAAAATCCATGTAACAACAAATACACATTATTGACTGCATATCTCAAGTGTAAAGCCCATCAGGCCTATTTTAAAGTATAGTATTTGCATTTTGAATACTGTAAAATATTTGTCTCATATTCGCATGACATAAATATTAATATTTTACTTTTCCATCATCAAGTAGGAGATATTTGGAACTGGAGAAAAATCATGGGATTTATTACCTGAGCAGGGATCAAGCTGGGACTGAGATGGGAACTCCATCCAGCAATCTTCGTTCCTCGCTGCACCATCCACCCACTCCTGCTAATCCCTCCAGGGATGTAATTGAGTTACGTAGAAATATAGCTGTGTGGGTTAAGTAGTGCAGGAACTGAAGTGAAATGACTGCAGGGGGAAGGTGAAATGAAGTGGGAGTGGGCCATCAGCTACTATTAAAAGCTGCAACAGTAAAATATTTAGACGCAATTCTCATTTGTTGCAGCAACGTCGTTAAAACATTTTCCCTCGCGATTTTTGGTTTTAATGCAATTTAGTAATGTGCACAAAAAATACGGTGTTTGTCAAATATTAAAATTACTAATATAATCCAAATGCACAATACCATGAGGTGACCTCATGTTCCACATTCAGTGGGTTAGCTGCATGTTAAACAAAGTGATGTATGTACGTTAACCAACGTTAAAGTCTTTGGAAAATGTAGTTCCTCTACATCAACATAACG